GGGGGGGGGGGGGGAAGTGGGTGCTATTGTTTAATATGATTTAACAAAATCAATATTTTATTGATGCAATTAAGTATTAAAACCCAGCCTCGCACGCCAGGGTGAGGATAATGGGGCTTGAACTCTTGGCCTGGGGCTGAACAAAAGCATCCAGCCCCAGGGGACACCATGAGCTGAGCCTGGAGCTGTGAGATGTCCCCATCTCTGCTGGGGTGGTGGGTCATGGAAGGGGGGAAACGTGGGACACGAGCCCCCGCTGATATTCCTTCTGGCTGCTTCCCAGGCTTGGCGCAGGTACGACACCGACCGCAGCGGCTACATCGAAGCCAACGAGCTCAAGGTGGGCTGCAGGCATGGGGTGGGCTGGGAGGGTCCCTGCTGGGTGCGGGGACAACCAGTGAAGCTTTCTCCTGCCAGGGCTTCTTGTCAGACCTGCTGAAGAAGGCGAACCGGCCCTACGACGAGCCCAAGCTGCAGGAGTACACGCAGACCATAGTAAGTGGGACCTCCACGGGACCATGGCTCCCCGGGGGCAGGACAGGTCCCCCCTGGGGGGTTCTTGCCACCCCACAGCAGGTGGGAGGGAGGGGAGGAGGTGGCGATGGGTGACGGGGTGCTGCTTGTGTCCCCGCAGCTGCGGATGTTTGACATGAATGGCGACGGGAAGCTGGGCCTCTCGGAGATGTCCCGGTAAGGTCAGGGGTGGACCCTTTTCTGGATAAAATCTGGCTGGATGGCAGGGCCCAGACCACAGAGGAGAATGGAGTTAAACTCAGCTGGTGGCCAGTCACAAGTGCCAGGACTCAGAACTGGGACCTGTTCTCTTTAATATCTTTACCAATGGTCAGGTTGAGGGGATCGAGGGCACCCTCACTAAGTTTGCAGATGACACCAGGTTGGGCCGGATGTTGATCTGTTGCTCTTCAGAGGGATCTGACCAGGCTGAATTGATGGGCCAAGGCCACTGGGATGAGGTTCAACAAGGCCAAGTGCTGAGTCCTGCACTTGGGTCACAACAACTCTCTGCAATGCTCCAGGCTGGGGCAGAGTGGCTGGAAACTGCCTGGTGGAAAAGGACCTCGAGGGGTTGTTCAACAGCTGGCTGCAGATGAGCTGGTGGGTGTCTTATGTGGCCAAAAAGGCCACCAGCACCCCGGCCTGGACCAGCACTAGGGTGGCCACACGGGC